TGTTTACAAACTGATGGCACCTATATAATGCGAACACTGCAGCCACGTATCACTGACGATCGTACATATCGATATGACGGACCTGCAGAGGCTCGAGGACACACAGAAGGCCTGCAAGAAGCTCCGTGATGGATTGGAAGCATGGCTTGGAAAGCCATCATGTAATATATGTTTCTATTACGTCTTCAACTAGATCTGGTTGTAAATACTGGGGTATCTGTTAACTTTGTGACATCAAACATGTAAATAATTAACGGAAATGTTGTCTGAGCGAAACTGGATGGATTTATTATAGTTTTTCCCTTTCTTGTTGAATATTTTTAGAGAATCGGAAAAATGCTGCTATGTACCCGGGTGTTTGGACGCGTGCTTATAAACAGATGTTTCAAATGCTTTTACCCATCTTCATAGATTAATCATAATGCCACCTTAGTAAATAATACTTTATTTCTTTAGCAAAGAAAGGCAAACAGGAAAACCCTTTATCAGAGCTAGCTGCCGCAGAACAGAAAGCTGCAGATTTGTTTTCGGATCCCTCGTTGAGTAAGTGTTTCTATTTTAATAAGAATATTGTCATACAAATTGCAAAATAATTTGTAACTTTATTTTTTACATTTCTGCAAGTGAGGAGAAATTGATCTGTTTCATTTTTTGCCCGATTTTCACTTAGAATCAACCCTGACAGCCCTGAGCGGTGCAACCTCGAAATTGGCCACTGAGAATATCTCACTTGTTTCCGAGGCAAACGCAAAGGTCTTATCAGTAATCGATGCGTTTTTGGATTCAACATATCCAACGCTTTCGGTAAACCTTAGTTGCATCGCGTTCCCTTCAAGAACCACGTCCATTTCTGCTTGTTGTCAAACAATTTATAATGGATTTAGAGAGCTGCCTAATTTTATTTTTCATTCAACCACTGACAGGGTGGATAAATGCAGTTACCTTTTTCTAGTTAAACACTCGGGTTTTTATGAATTTCAGTGGTGCTTTAGCTTTATTAAGGAACTCAACTTTAGTGACGTATTAATCGATATTAATTAATTAATTAATATAACGAATACCGTGCGCCAACATATAAAGGCAAGTTTAAATTCAGACTTGTTTATTTTACCTTCAGAAAGAACTGAAAGCACATGACTTGGCTAAAGCTGATTATGAAAAAGCCCAAAAGAATTGCGAGAAGATCACCAAAGTGGACAAAAAAGAGAGGGTAAGTTTTATGAAAAAATATATACTGATTGGCTCAACTAACCGTGATTTTAATACTGATGCCATTTGAAGCTTCTATTATTTTGTGTGCATACTATTAGGCCGAGGCCGAAGTCAAAGCAAAGAAACAGAACTACGATGCTCAGGCAGCGAGGGTATCTTCGCTTATCAAGCAGTTGGACGATGCATATGTGAGGAGTTAATTATTTGCCCCATTTTTGCTATATAACGATGAGCTTTTTGGCCAAAGTTTTTTCTACTCAAAAGTTTTAATTGTTAAATATATTCTACAATTTCTATTTTTCTTTGATAACTGAGTGCGAATCTTTTAATTTCTAGCCACACATTGAAAATGCAATGAAGGAGCTTATAAGTTTGATAGCAATGGAATACCAGAAATCAGCAAACATAATGACTGAACTTTCGACAAAACTAAAACTCGGGCAAGGGTATGTTGCATGCGACGCTTTATGCTGAAAACATTGTTCTCTAACGAAGCCTAGTTTAACATATTGTTATGTGATCAACATTTTAGACCAAAGAAATCAACTTCTTAGATGTCACGAGTCAGTGGAAATGGACACTTATGCGAGACGTTTTCGTGTTTTGACAAAATTATTTTGCAATAAATTTTCCCTACGTATTTACCTTTTAAAAAGGGATCAGCTTATTGGTGTTGTAAACGTGAAATTTTTTTATTTGCTTGTGTTGGGTGTGTGATCATCTCGTATTATAGACTTTTGTATCATGGGCTATATAAGTTATAAAGAGCTGAAGTAAAAATAGAACCACTTAGAAACTGTGCTAAACAGAACATCAGCAAAAATAATCCATCCTAAAATACAGCTGACCCCTTAAAGTGCAAGTTTAGCTTTTTATTTGACTAAAACACCAGACCAGCTCTGGTAAAGATCAATTTTCATGAAATCATATGATAGGTATTTATGAACATTTGACGGCTGTCATGTCAGTCCTGATTTTCTGTATCCTCTCCATTTTGTAATTGAAAAAAGAAATCAAAATGTAATAGGTGAAGGAGTGTAGTGTTTTATAGCAACTTTAATTAAAATTGTTTATGAGTTCAAACCATTTTTTAAATCTCAGGCCGATTAACGCTTGAACATTTCTGATGGACTAACCTTGCTCGATGGATCGTTTAGCTATATTGAGAAAACAAACGAAAATGCGAATCCCATAAACTAACTGAAAAGAAACAGATGCCATCGCTG